GTGTTTTTATCCGTCATGAATTCCTTGACGTTCGGCCAGAACTCCTAAATCTAGAGGGCTCTCTAGCCCACTACAGAAAGGAGAGAGATGAGGACGCATTAGTGGGACCGAGGGCGAGCTCGTGCCACCAACCCCCATTTTTCTCTTCTTTGACTTCTTTCCCCTTTCTGCATCTTCCTGCGAATAATCCAAAAAGTGGATCATCCTGCCCAATAACCTATCCCCTTCCCCGTCCGGTTTGGTATGACCACATTACAAACGAACTACCGCTCAGCTTAGGACGGCCCCACCCCCAGTATTTGGGATTCTTTTAGACCTCTTAGATACGGGTAGTGATCTGTGAAAATCCTTTTGTTGAGAACCGACCAAGAATCCCCGGACCAAGGAGAGCCCGTGAAAGTACCGGTACCGTGCATCTAGAAAATACAAGTGCCGCCCATGCACCCCACAGCAATCAGAGGGGGGAGTCGACGAGTGCGAGATCTTTGGTTGTTGCGTCTCGACTAGAGTTGGGGTGAGATATCGGTACTACGTTCTACTGTGCGGGGAAGGTTGTGTCTGGAGGTCTGAAAGGGGGAGTTGTCAAGCTGGATTCCCGACGAATTTCTTAGTTTTTCCTTCCTGGCTTTTCCCTCCCGGAGTTCATAGATCCTCCTTTGGCCCGAGTTCGTGGTGATAGTGTTGGTGAAGATGTGCGGGCAGCAGTTTTGAGGGTAGCCGAGCGATATATATTCTGAATTGGAATTTTTTCCTTCTTCTTTTCTTTCGCCCATATGGTATGTACTGTAGGTTACCCTAGGATGTTCCGCAGATTTTCAGAACCACTTCAGGGCTGCAAGTGGGGATTTCGTAAATACGAGAGCAAGGCCTTCCTTGATTTTTACCGTTAGCTCCCCCCCCCCTTCGTGCCAATGTTGATCATATCATACAACCTGCCTGAAACGTTTGATCTGAGGGCTAATCCAGCCAACGGTATATGTTTTCCCTTGCAAGCCTGGCGGGATGGAATGCAGGATAAAAACAAGAAAAAGAAAAAGAAAAGAAAAAAGAAGAGAGCAAATGAAGAATTAACAGACATTCTGAGTTCGATCCAAAACACATGGGAAAGCTTTCTTCCAGATCTCTACATTATCAGGAACCGTTCGAGTGTTATTGGGCCTAGGGTCTGAATAGTAGTTACAAAAGGATGGAATTTTTTCCACCCGCGGCGGTCTCTCGGGGGGTTTGCGGTGGTGCATCCATTCCGTAAATTTGCTTCACCAAGAGAATTTACGATTCTCGAGCTCGATCCGAACATTTTTAGGCGCAAATTATATTGCAAGCGAGAATCCAACCCTAGCCTCTGACTAACCTGCGCAGCGGGTTTCAATTAAGCATACTCCCCCCTTCCTCCGACACCCCCATAATCATCACAGATGGTCACTCTTCTCAAGATTACCGAACAATAGACACACCGTAGTCTGCCCGGAGTTAAATCCAAGAATAAAACCCCCGGTATGTGTTATGGGACGCCGGCTACAGAAGGGGCAAAGCATCTATACCTGGTGCAACGGGGCACAATCACGAACACTCTTTCTCCAGCCAATATGAAACCGAAAGAGTCCAAGCGGAAAAAAACCATCACAATCAACGAACCTTCCATGAGCCTCCCCGTCATCTCACTCTGCCAAAGAGATTCCTGGACCAATGATGGTCCATCCAGTTTCACTCCCGCTGCATCCCACCGTTTCCTCGCGAGATTTCACGTCGCATCAGGCGTGCAGCAAAGAAACATTTGCCCCGGTAGACGGTCATCCCTCATCCTAAAATACCTAGTTCCTAAAACCAATTCAAAAAAAAAATGCAGGGGAAACAACCAATAATGCAGAGCAAGCAACTACGGGAAAGGGGAGCCACGTGGTAATGGAGAAGCGCGGACGGTGGGCCGGCGTCACAAAATGGCTATCTTCGGGTGCCATAAATGCCCATCGCAACACATTTGATGATCTGTTCTAGCATTCCCAGACGGAGGGAAAGATGCAGTATGCAGGATTGCTTACAAGTGGAAAAAATAAATTGTTCGCTAAAGTTGCTGAAGCTTCTCGGATGAATGTTCCGGGCGTAGATTCAAAAAGGTTCGAGCAGCAAACAAAATCACAGGACGTGCATCTCCGGCCCCATATTATAACACTCCTTCCACCACAACGCGCATACACTATACCCGCGATACCCTAGGATACTCAAACGCCGCCATATTTCTTCTCACTTCTTGCAGTTACAACCAGCCCTTCCAAGCCACCACACAGATCCCCGCCCCACCCCCCACCTGCTCCCTTGGCACCTCGACCTGCACAGCCTGCATCCCGACCGCTCATACCATAAACCAACGCAGTCTCCAGAAAACCCCCGAGTGAGCCTCCATGATCCCCGAAACTAATACCAGAGGGAAGAGATGTCTATTTATAGGTGGACAGCATGCCGGCAATCATTCTGAAAGCCATCACCTGCATCGCAACAGTATGCAAACCAACGGAATGGTAAGAAAACAAGCGCTGTAACTAATTTAGTATTTCGAAAATGCATCTTGTGTGTTCCTAGAACCCATTTCTGCTCACGGATCTTGATCCTGCATTCAGCTAGCAACCGCGTTTGGCCCATGATATTGAGTTCCCAAGTAATAGACCGTAAGTAATCCACATACCGTGGAGAGGGTGGGATATTGAGAACTCAGATAGTTGTATGATGTTACGAAATTTGAATTATCCTAGTGCTCCCAGCACTGAGGAAGCATATTAGAGGCCAGTTAAAGTTGTGCCAATATCGCTGCAGAGTGCCGAGTTTAGTGGATGCCCAGGATGGACTTTATTTTTATCTTTATTTTTTTATTTTTCTTCGGAGTTGAGGTAAAGTAAATTTATTCACACCGGAACAATAGACAAGGAAAGCAGTCATAGATTACCGCGAGGGTACGATAGACTAGTAGAAGTAGCGGCGCAGAAACTAGAACGACTGGGCCCAGCGCGTTGCGAAGGCCAACAGCCCCCGCGTGCAAGTCTATACAAAAAACTCGCCCAAAGGTGATTAGGTGGATAGGGGGATGGATGTGTAATAGTTCGGGTGCTGGGCTGACCCAGGTTTAACTCTATTATGCGAATAGTGACACCAATCTACTCGTACCATTAGCAAGAGAAAACAACGAAAGAAAAACATATAGAAAAAGAGAAGAAACTACTGTACATGAAAGGGAGAATCAACAATGCAAAACCGGAATGATTAATGTAACAAACAAAAGCCGCAGGAGGGGAAAATAACAGGCAAGATACCCGCCTCCTCTACACTCTGATAGCTCAGAGTAGAAACTCAAAATTCTAAACTAAGCACCATTAAATATCCGGAAGGATTCCAGGAATTGTATATCGTACAAATGTCCCACATCCCAAGGAAACGATGAGCTCGATGCATAATTTTCAGGTTCGGGATAATGACTAACCCAGAAGAAAAATAAAGAGCAAGTGAGGGAAGAGGCGTCGTTGCGATCGAATGGAAGGCCGGAGTGGCCCAAGAAAGATGCAGAGGAGAGGAGGGCGCGAGCGCCAGGGTATGGAGTATGGCTGCGGGGACGATACGGGAATAGCAGATAATCCTGGTCAAAGAGACGGGGGGGTAAGGAAGCTAGTGGCTAATCTGCAACAATCAGACTAGAGCTGTAGGGTTCCAAGCTTGAAGTAGAGGGGTGTCCTACTCCTGTTGTCTGTCATGCCTGGTTGACATCTTTCCGGTCCAAAAGTTGTTTAACCACTGCCTTGTTCCCTTGGCTTGCAGCCTAGGAGAGGGGTGCAATTCCCGGAATTTCCGCGGATAATTGAAGAACTTCTTCTAATCCGGTTGGGGCTCCCGGGGAGTCTGGAGGATGAAATCTGACTTCGTCGTGATGACAATTAATATCCCACAACCAACCATTGTCCATGCCGCTTTGCTCCCTTGGTATAGGACCATATCCTCACGAGATTCCACACCGCCTCAGGTATGTAACAAAACGTAAATAATAATATATCACACCCCGACAAGCGACCACACCTCCGCCCCAATACTCCGAGCTTGAAACCGAACAGTCATGTGGGAGAAATGATGAATAGTGTAAAAAAAAAACCCACGCTCAAAGAGGGCCCAGCGCAGCAGACGAAAACAACACTTATACCAGCACCACCCCCCCCCCCCCCCTAGAAACGCCTAAGATTCCACAGCAACATATATAACCCTCGGCTTGAGCGCCCCGAAATAGGGGGAGAGAAGAAGTATCCGAAATTTCTGAAAACGCAAGGACAAACCACCTTCTAAACTAATTAAGGTTTCTCAGATACCCATTTTGGATGTAAAACGGTTCGAGAGAAAAACATCCTCGGCTCTGCGTGTGCCTTCCCTGGGGGCGGATTGATGAGTGGTAGCCTAGTTTAGGTGGGGAGCCGACCTGACTTTATTGTGCGCACGGTTATACCTGCAGGCATCTACAATTCATTGGGGAAACACACTCGAGTAGGGCGGGCGAGAACGATCTAAAAAACATGAAAAACAAAGAGAGGCTATTTATTCAGGAAGGGGATAATCAACCAACTAAAATTGAAATAATTGTTGGGAAAATAAGGGTAAAAATATAATGTAAAATATCCTCCCACATGATACAGTGCCTCAACCAGAGGGAAAAGAAACTCAAATTTGTTCACTCGACCGCATAATTCAATATCAGTAAGGCTCCCGTTAACTATACACACGTCCAACATTCCCAAGGCAAGATAATTCCTCACATGACAGATTTCAACTTAGGAATAGGAACCGGATCAGAGGGGGGGGAGTTGGCGTTAAGAGGGGATTGTAAGCTCCGGAGTCCCGAGAAAGGCGTAGTTGAGAGTGAAATCAGGGTCAGATTGTCGCGGTCAGGAACTTTGAGAGGGCACAGGAGCTAGGAGTTGGTGGTCCTGGGCGAAGGCTAGAATTGGGGGTTTCCACGCTCGTAGTTGATTCACAACTTCTTCATGCCCCTTCTGAGACGCATAATAGAGTGGTGTATGTAAACTTTTGTCCATTCTGTCGGGGTCAACATCGGGTCGTTTCAACAGTAAATTCACTATTGCTTCGTGACCGATCTCAGCAGCCCAGGAGAGAGGAGTCCTGCCTTCGTTGTCTGGCTTGTCCGGGTCGACATCTTTCCGGTCCAAAATTTGCACAACCACAAACTCATGACCTTTGATTGCAGCACAGGAGAGGGGCGTATTCCCATCGTTATCCGGCCT